TTTTTAGAGTACTTACCGAAAAACTGAAGTTTAGACTTCATAGTCCCATATGATTTTTCTAAATAATTAGAAAAATGAAAGCCATGGAGTTAATTAAATGATTAGACAGGCAAAGTAATTGAGCTCAGGTGGGGGGGAAAGCAGACCTTAGTCCTTCAGGAAAAGATTTTATGATCTTCTGTTGATGAGAACATTGATAATTAATTGTGGTGGAGATTTAAAGTAGGAACTGTTTGGGGAAAATGATGGACCTGAAGGGGAAAAAAGCTGACTATAGAGTGAACCAGGATTATATTCATTAATTAAATTTTGTTTTGGTTGTCTTGGCATTGGCTTACATAGACTTGTAGCTGTTTCACTGCATATACCATTTTTAGATTTTCTTTGTCCAGTGCAATTATTCCATTTTAAAAATAATATCTCCTTTTCCCTTTAACAGTCATACTTACTACCAGTTTTGCCTAAAAATATGATTTATTTCTATACAATCAGTTACAACAAAAGCTCCAGAACAAGCAGAACAATTTTATTACAGGTGAATTACAAAATTCTGTAACAGAATAAACCAAAGAATACAACACAACATATCAGTTTAAAACTTCAGCTAAATGTATTTGTGCATTAGAAGAGCCTTATATTTAACACATATCATCGATGATAATAAAACACAACACATTTAAGAATAACCCCATAAAAACGTTTGCTTTTGCAGGGACCACATAGTATTGTACTGTAATATCAACCACGCAGCAACAGGAAATACTGAATTCAGCACAATTATATCTTCCTTGGTCAAATTATGGAAGGAAAAAGGAACTGCATAACACTATTTACATCAAACACATCTCAGTTTCTTAACAGGATGCCACTAAATGAAAATATGATGTCAAATACATTTTCTACATATTACTCACAAACAAGAAAGATGAATAATTTTATTCAATTTCATACATAAATAAGAAAAAAGAAAATGAAAGCCCATTTAAGGTCAAAACAGAATTACAAGCTGCCTGTGAATCAGGCAGGTAATTTAATTGTTTCCAATCTTTTTAGTACTGATTGGAAACCTTTCATCAAGAAATGGGTTTTAAAATTTGGGATGGCTGGGCAGAGATACATTTTGATTTAATTTAGACTTTCACTTTTGCACGAACGGTTGTTCTGCAACTATGACCTTCTGGTTTAAGATGTGAGGTAAAAACTGTGAGAGATTTAACTTTAATCAAGACTGATAATACATTTACTAGCATGTTTCCCTAAAATTATATGCAAGAAACTCTGATTACTGTAGATAAGATATTTGGTGATGAATCTGTGTAATTATTGTTCACAGCTGTTTTTTGAGTTTGTTAAAGCATAAAAAGTCTACTTTTTAAAGAATGAGAATTAAGCATCGGTGTATTTTGGATGTAAATGTACTCCACTGCTCAGGAATTAATTTTCTACAGTAAGGTATTAAAATCATCTAAGCTTGACTTTTTGAATACATATACAGCTACGTCTACTAAATGTACTACATATCTACCGATTTAAATCAGTAGATATTTAGAATATTAAGTTTTAATATTCTGTTATGATCAGTCATTTCACTTCCAGTTCTTTGCAGAACTACAGAGGTGGATGATGGATACTAAGATACCCACAATAATCCTAGAATTGTATTGTCTACAAAACATGACAATCAAAGTAGCAGGTACTGTATACTGTACTGTATTTATGGTTACATACTTACTGGCTTTGATAAAACACGGATTGGAAGGATTTCTAGATTTAAAACAGGCTTTGTTTTCTCTTTGCAACCTAATTCTGACAATGCTAGCAAACAGCTCTCTGATTTCTCCAAAAAGAAATGCCCACATGGTGAGCATTTGCAATGGGGAGAAAAAAAAAACCCATAAACATGTAAAGAACAGACTCCTTTGTAAAACAACTACCACTTTTACAAAAAAGGAACTATTAAACACTAGTTTCACTCATCCACTCTGCTGCAAAACATCCAAAGCAATAAAAATTGAGTATTTGCTAAGGCATTAAAAAGTTCTGCATATGCTGTCCCTGCAACCATTGTAAAAGTATTCAATATGTCAGTTTGTTATCATAGTGTTATCACAATATTTTAAACAATCTAGTAAATGTTTTTTTCCAGCTATGCAACGCTTTAAATTCACCATTAGCACTAACAATCAGTGTTTCTGTTTCTTTTTTCCACGAGAAGCACATCTGCAGTATCTCTTGTCATTACAGAATGTCCTGTGGCCAAAAAACCCATTAAGTGGTAAGTACAGTTAAAAAAAAACAACAACAAAATGATGGCTTCTGGCAGTAGGAGATCTCAATCCTGTTGTTATATACAATAGGTATTGCAGAATTTATGTGGAGAGATCAGCCAGATTTCTTATGAATATTAACTTTTCTAATGCAAAGCAGAAATTTCTTCTTTCCTCTCTCCCTGTACAATACTTGGTCAAATGATGACACTAAACACATCAATGATCATATTTACTTTCCTGTTGTTTTTTGTTTTTCCTGTAAATAATTACAAGAATGATCTGTTAAAAATACTATCAATTTATGAATTAAACATTCAATATAACATTGCACCAGTATGTATTCCCAGCAATTAAACTTGGCTCAAGATTATTTTTTATGCTGTGTGAGGTATTGGGTCTAAAATTAAATACAAAATGTAAATAAGAGCTGCCCCAGTATCTGTCTCGGTTAATTGAAAAAAATGTTAATTAAACTGTTCAATTCGAGCTGTGTAAATGTTCAATTTTCAAACTTTGTAAATAACACAACAGGTTAGACTACTTTATGAAGTTGCCTCTTAGGAACTGATAACTAATACCTAACGGATAACTAATTCCTAAAATGTAATTAAGAAGTAATAATATCAAAGTAAATTAAAGTGTAAATCCAAGAATGTCCAAGTTTCTGTCCACAAAACAAGAGGTCCACTTTGAAGTCTACCATGTTTTATATTAAAACTGGCACCAAGGGAAAAATAAAATGTGTAGTATTAGAATACTAATGACAGATTAGACTAGTGACAGATGGAAATGTGTGTTGGTAGCAAAGGAACAAGTAAAAGGTTTGTTCCATGCTGAAAAGAGAAGAAAGAAAACAATGTTTCGCCTGTTTCCGGGTGCCGGATGTTGGTATATGCCATAATTATCACTCTCTGCATTGTTAAGAAAGCATAAAAATTGGATATTTACAGATAATGTGAAGTTCATTTAGCATGCAAAATAATATCCTTGATTCAACAGAATGTTGCTTCTTCCTATTAAATGTAACAGCAATCCAGATGTCAGAAGTATAGGGCGCAAGGTAGGACAAGCCCCTAGACAGGATTCCAGTATAACACATATAGACAATACTGTATACAGGCAAAAAAAAACATTGTCTTCAGAAGGTAGGAAAAAACCAAAGACTATAGTGAAAACACACAAACTCTGGAATTGAGCCAAGACTCACCTGTGGAGCAGCACTTTTAACAACACCATTGCTCCTACAAGCTTTAAAAAACTAGTTTTCAGTTAATGTTATTGCACAAACAATAAATACTGGATCTACAATGTTACCTGATCCCTATTATATACTGTACATATTTACTGTATTCTGTACATACATTATGTCAGACAACACAGCACAATGAAACTCATTAGTGTCCTGTAGTTTTCCGTTTTCGCCTGTTTTGCAGGATGTTTTTAAGCTAGTTGATTTTTCACATTTAAGGTCCTTCAGTTTTCCAAGTGTAGGGTGTTCTGTTGGGAGACCTTTCAACAAACATAATTTGTTTGGGATGGACATAATTTAAAAAGAGGAGAGGTGTTATATCATATGAATGATGTATTCTGTATCTCTCGTCATCTGTGTGCTTGATTAGCTGCTGTCAAATCAAGAATTAAAGAAGATTTATAGTGACAAAAAGAGTGGGTGGTTTTCTTTAATTTCAGCTTCCTTCTTTTCTTGCAATGCTACCAGAAGAAAACTAAGAGGGATTAATTTATCCTTTTCATCTAAAGGCTACAGAGCAGGTAGATTTAAAATGACCACACATTGATTTCCATCTAATTGTACTAAAGGACTTTTCACTGTGTTGTTCTGTCCAGATTATAATCCTCATATCCATTTAAAAACCTCTTCCCAGTCTAGACAGCTTAACACTTATTCATCTTACTTCTTGAAATGCATTGAGGGACGCTGATCAATGAACTTCATGTTATCTCCCTGTGGGCCTGGATCCTCTTTACACTTGACAAATCGGATATGCAGAGGTGACTAGGCTATTGAGTCCTGTGTGATCATCCTTTAGAAGAGGAATTAATCTCAGATGTTGTCAACTTCCTTCCCAACTGGGAATACAAACACCGGCCCATGATTATTACATTTCAGTTAAGGCTAGTAACTCAAACTGTTTCTTCACACTTATGGCTCCCCTAGTGCTAAAAGAACACTATGCGCTGTCCTAGTTTGGGTTGTCAAGCTTTCTTTTTCATTATCACTACGAAGAAAAAAGCAAAACCTTCATCTGATGCAAAAAGTAAAGGGAAAGTTTCTGTATATATTCAGTGTCTTAAAATAAGCAACAAAATGGTGTTTCAGTGTGCTGATCAGTATATCTGCAATTTGACATTCAAAAATAAATGAATGAATGAATACTTGAGGTTTTTTCTTAGATATAACAGATTAAACCTTAATTCGTGAAAGTCAGAGTAAAATTGTCCTCACTGTCTTAAATTCAAATGCAACAAAAATATTTAGTCACAAATCTGTTTAGTGTTGTGCTTTAGTGTTGTGTTAAGTGTACCACACAAATGAACATTTCAGAACAGCAAAGATGCTGATGTGATACAGTTATAAGCCAATTTAGTAAATAATGTCAAACTCTTTTTGCAGAGCTCTTTGTATTGTGGTGCAAAGGCATCACCATAACGGATACTTTGGCATGTTTTGAAAGACGGAAAAAAGCTAGACCAAATCCTGTGAAAATTAATTAAATCTGAAGTGAACACCCATGAAAAGAACACAGCACTTAGTTAGTAGTACACAATGTAGACGTATTCTTCCTTCATGGAAATCTATTTTTGAGATGTTCATGAACACTTTCTTGGATTGCTTTCCATTGTTTCAACATGGAGTACTTTGTGATGTTTAAGGTAAAGAACTATCTTGCTAGCAACAGAGAAAAACTTAATGGGTTGTCTTTGACCTACTGACTGGTATTATTGTATTAGTGAGTATTTGTATGCTTAAACAAAAAAAGTCTCAACAGCTGTGAACTGTTCCTAGGTGTGGGAACCCTCCACAGAAATCAGTCTTTTGGAGAAAGGCTAGAAACGGTGCAATTGAATCTACAGGAGGTTGTACTATGCTCTTATGGAGTCCACAAATCACCAATTCCCAGGTGTAACAGAAAAAAAAACAGACCATCACTAGGATTTAAGTGTGCTGGGTTAAAACCACAACTTGTCAACCACAACTTGAGGAACTGTAACAGTTTGGGCAGCCTAGAGATCAGGGATAATATAAGCCTGTCTTCCACCTGCCTCTTTAAATGCTATTGATTCCACTCAAAATACACAGTAGGAACAGACCAAGCTAACAGGGCATGGCTAGATAACCACCCCCTTTCACTTTCTGGGAAAATCAATGAGTACAAGGGCCTGGTTGACATCCGACAGCTAGGATTTAACTGTTCAGGAGCACAACCTGAAAGAAATTCTGGGCATGGCATGTTGTGTGGCTTTTATTGTATCCAGAACAAATGATGCCTAGAACATAAAATATTTAGTAATTAAATAAATAAATGCAAACCAATAAAAATATTCCCTAGAGAAAGTGAATTCAAAAATCGAATTTCTGATGTGTCATGTTTCTTTCATGTATTATGTGATATTTCTCCTAGCATAACATATACAGTACACAATGACTTTTTGAAAGGTACGTTTAACTGTTCCAAAGGCTACAGCAACAGCAACACGAAAATGGCACGTATTTTACATTAATGTACAGAATCTCACTGGATAGGAGAGATCGTGCAGAGCCAACAATCGTTTATAGCTAAGCATATTTCGTTGACACTGAAAAACACATCAGTACACAGGAAAAATACTGTATGACCCACAAAATCCTTTACCCTATGAATTCTGAAGTTAAGCTTTGCTGAAAGTGACCTTACTAGACAAACAGGTGTCATCAAATGATAATTTCTTGCTGGGAAGAAACTCTGCGGTCACGGTCATGTCGTCTAGCTCAGTGGTGAAGTGATCTGGACTCTCTCCATTGGACATGTCTTTTATTACGCTGTAATTGAGAGCCATGCTGTAGGTAGCTGGCTTCTCAGAATGCGGCTGCTGGCATTTGCAAAGCTTCTTAAAGGCGGCTCTGAATTTCTGAGACATCGCATTGTAGATAATCGGATTGATGGCACTGTTAAGGTAAATGCAGATTCGGCAGAACAAGACAAACCAGGTATCTAAATATGCCTGAGTCAGAAAAGAATTCACCACCACTAACGTTCGATAGGGCATCCACAACAGTGCAAACAGAATGACCACCACTGCCAGCATCTTTGTCACCTAGAGCAGAAGGAAATAGACAAAGTCACATTAAAAAGATACTGTTTTACTGGAGTTAAGATGATGACAGATATTTATCACTGAAGCTTGGGTTACTTAAGGAAGCTAAGCTCTAACTGAAAGAAAATGTAATTCCTAAAAACCTGTGAAATATCTTAGCCAGAATACTTCTTTGAATAATGTTCAATTACAACTGCTAGTACTTTTAACACAAACAATCACAAGAATAAGCTTGCCAAACTTTGACAAAGATTACAAAAATCTTATTTGATGCAATTAATATATTTGAAGAAAAAAATATCTTTGGTCTAGATTAAAATATAGATAATATAAGATAAATATATTCATTGGTTAAGCAAGAGTTACACTAATATGAAATGTACACATAGTAAACCTCATAATTCAAGCAGGTAAGCCACGTCAAAATGTGATAAAGGGATATTTATATATTTTATACATTATATATATTTAAAATTATTATTTTTGTATGGAAACGAACTTGTCATAACAATAATAAGACAGATTCGGAAGATCTGGAGAGAATTACGGTTATAATACAAAACCACGGTTTTTGAGGAAGTTCATTTTGTGATAGAATGACGGTTTTCTGCTCAATATTCTACAACGAATCGAGTTTCTGGTTTTTCATTTGCGATAAAACAATACTTTTGCCTTGTTTTCAACTGTTTAGGAAGGACATGAATCTTAATCTCATTGCAACACCAGCAGAAGTCTGGTATAATGTTTATCAGCAGTAAACCTAGGAGACTTCAATGCTGTGCCAAGAAGTGGCTGCAATAACGTAGCGCAGTGCTTTCGATGCTGACCGCACGGTGCGTAACCGAGCCTCCTGCCGTGCGTAAATTAAGGGGAAGGAAAGGTATTAGTCTCATTCATATTTTGTAGCAGGTAGGTGGGGTTTCAGAATAAGTAATGCCTTTTAAGCTGGTTTGACGTTTAAGTGTATTTTACTTCCCTGTAAAATTAGGTATCCTTTCTTTATGTCATACTTTATATGCATATGATATATTACTAATATTATTAGCACAAGACCTTACCTGTCTCCGTGAAGACGCGGTACTGCTTGAACAGCGACTTGAGCTTTTGGAGTTAAAGATCGTGTTGTCGTGACTGGATTCGTTTTTCCACTTTTTGTTTTTTTCTTTGGGATCTGCGGGAATGGGGTTTAGGAACAGGATTCTTGCGATCAGTCCGTACAGAATAGTGGCTAACGTTAAGGGCACCACATAAAATATGGCAAAGTCCAAAAAGTAGATCGGCAGATAAAGATTTCTGGACACTTTGTAGGCACAAGTCACCACAGTCACATCTGCGTAGTGTATGTCTTTAGTGTCCGACAGGTAAAACCACATAACGCAGTAGAAAGAGGTAAATGCCCAAACAACCACGATGATCTTCTTGGCTCTTGAAAGGGTACAGAGAAATTGGGCTTTAATAGGATGGCAGATAGCGATGTACCTCTCGATGGTAAAAGCAGTTATTGAGCAAGAGGAGGCATTGATGCCCAAATACTGGAGATAAGTGATACAAAGGCATCCAGCGTAGCCATAAACCCAGGACCCATAGATGCTGTCGGTGATGTTTGGCAGACCGGCAGCTGTAAGAACCATTAAGTCTGCGACAGCCAGACTCACCAGGTAGCAGTTGGTCGGCGTCCGCATGTGCTTGGTTGTGAGGACAACCAAGACCACCATGATGTTGCCCACAATACCAATTCCGCAGATGACCAAAACCAAAACCGTGCTCACCACCTTGTATTCGATACTAGGTTCGGTCCAGTTTCCGACAGTCTGGTTGTCTTGAAACAGCGTCACGTTCTCCATCTTCGTTTTTCTAAAACTCTGGGGGTACTGTAGCTACCAGTTTATGAAGGATCCCAGTATCTCCTTTTAGCTGAAAAACAACAATTTAGTTATATCAGATGTATCAGTCTTTCTATCCTGGTTTTAACGACTAACTTATATCGACGAACAACTCTTTGTTTTACCGGTCAAGGCTGTTAATGAAATGTCAATGAAGTAGAAGTGACATAAACCCCTGTTGGTCCAAAGAGAAAGACTGGTCTTGTAATACAACAGCATACAGTATATGCTCCCTTTACACTGCTAATTTATTTTAGCTTTCTTTTGATAGAGCACAAGTTGGAACTCTCAATTGCAAGCTCTTAAAAGAGCGACGAGAAAATTGTACTTACATTAACGTCGAGCACGAAGTACCGGTTTCCTGCACAACTCTTCTTTTTCCGAACATTTTTGCCTTGTCTAGTCGGATAAAGTTCAACGCCCAATTCCAGAGCAAAAAGTTTAAAAAAAAATGTACTGATCTCAGCAAGTATTAGTTATTAACTTCCACAACAGTTTGTTTCACCCCCAAAAACCTTGATACGTTTTCACTGTCATACACAATATGAAATTACCTGGACCAAGCGAGAGAGCTACTGTACGTTTCTTTTGCCTTTTTTTCCCCCCACACCTCAAAAGCGTCTGCAAGTTTCTACGCCCTGTGAAAAGACGCAGTAAAACCGTCTGTTGGTTTATGAAGTTCGCTGAACAGCACAGGCATCGATCTGACTGCCTGCGAGTCTCGGTGGATATTGTCCTATAAGGGAACGAGCCTCAGCGCACAGTGAGAAGCGAAGCCGCACTGAAATTAGGCGATCCCACGGCAAGTCATCAGTCATGGGGGCTGCGATTCAGCTGCCTCAAAGACCAAACGTAAACACGCCGAGGAGGTGGTACCTATACAGTACATTATTATTGACAATTAATTACAAAATTGTTATCATATGATTGTAAAAAATATTAATGATTATAGCGCTTATATAAATGACATATTCGATAAGTCATATAAACCTGATATTTTAAATCTGCCTCAAAAGACAAATATTCAGCATAAGCAAGGTGTTTCTTTTTTGTCTTATCCACTCTTAATTCTATGTAAAAAATTCTAATATACCCAGCTGTAACGGTAAAAAAAAAAAAATCAAAATGAAGCATGCTCCGTGTAAGGAATAATTCTTCACTAGGAGAAAAATGGGAGTTTCAGAACGAAACGGGGCTTGTGTTAATCCCTAAAACGAATGTGTAAACTCCTGTTCTTCTGATTGAAACCAGTTTCACCTTTATAACCTGAGGTGTATACAGTATATGTACAGAGAGAGAGCAGCTACAGCTATATCTCAACTGAGCTAATCTAGCTGCAAGTGTAACAACTGAAGTTCTGTCTCATGGGTTGGCCACAGACAATGGGAATACACAATGACCTTCAAAGCTATTACACCAAACCAAAATGTGCCTTAGATAAAAAAAATAAAAGGCGAAATCTAACTGCATATATAACAACTGTTGCTCTTAACTTCCAGCTCAACCTGGAAAGGTACTGTATTTCTTTTAACACATTGCTTTGGAAAAAGTACTCACCCCCTGTTAATACTTTAGCATTTCATTGTATATCATTTCTTATTCAAATGAACTTTTTTTTATATTGAAAACTGTAATGGTTAAAGTGAACAGTTTTATATTTGCATGAGGATGATTGTAAGCAAAGCCTTCAAGAAAGACACTCATACTATATCTGAAAGCAATTACTGTGGTCAGTATTTTGACTCTCTACCAGCTTTGCTCTTTGGGATGGTGTAATGTTCTCAATTCTTCCTGGGATAATTGCTCCAGTTCTGACAAGTTTGTTGAGGATAGTTGATGGATCATCAAGCCCCACAGTGTTGTCCATTGGATTCAAATTAGGACTCAGACAGGACATTCACTCTCCTCTTGACAGACCACTGCAGTCTGGATATGACCTTGTGCTTCAGGTTATTGTCCTAATTTGAATATTTGACCCAGGTTTGGATTTTTGGCTGACTCAAGCAGGGTTTACTGTAAGATTCACCTTTACTTTACACATTTCCATTTTCTGCTGATGTAATGTATCAACATAACAAGATGCTGCCACCACCAGGATTTGCATTTAGACAATGTTTTCTAAACTTTTTTGGAACTCACCCAGGCAGACCAGCTTTGTACAGCATGTTGGGCTTTGCATGTTGTTATTGCAGCAAAGGTGACTTCTATTTCAGACTTTTAACTTTGCAGATCTTTCCATATCAGTTTTCGCTTCACAATGGCAGCATTAACCAGTTTCCTACTTGCTGCTCAGTTTGCAAGGGCAGCCTGATCTACTGTATATAGTAGATCAGCCTCTTCATGATGTGCTTCACTGATCTTAAAGGGATAATTATATTAATGTCGTAACCCCTAAAACTATTTCTTTCTACATGATCTGATTTAAGGTTTCTGGAGCAAGGGGATTGAATACTTAAGCAAACAGGAATGTTTTAATTTAAAAAAAAAAAGTCATATTCTCTACAATAAGCATTTTTACTTTTATCAGTATGGAGAAGACTCTAAATATACAGTAGACTGCCTTGCAAAATATTCATCCCCTTCCAATGTTGTTCAATTTTGCTGAATTACATATTGTGTTTACACATTTTTAATGTGATTCTGTTTTGCAGGTTTTGCTGACAATTCACTTTCACCACAAAGGTGTCCATTTTGAATTTTCAAGCCTTGATACAAAGTGTTCACTTAAAAAAATACTATGGATTCTGGACATAAATGAATGCACGCATTTTCTTTGGGCAGGGTCAAAGTCAAGTACCAGAGGGAAGAAATGTGGAAAGTCACCTTATAAAATGGAGTTACTGACAATTCCCACAAAACAGTGAATGCACAGATTGGGAGAAGCACTTGATCTTGTAATACTTATAAAGAATACAATTATAACATTAGCTACCAAGTCAATGCTCTACTAATTAGAAAAATATTGATAGATGACTTAGAGGATTCTTCTCAGAAAGACCCTTTGTTCAGCAGGTTGCATTAGATCAGTCTGTGATCTAATGCGGCCTGTTCATTGTGTAATTCAGGCCCAGAGAATCACGTGCTATTTTTGAATGTGTTCTGTTTCATAGTTCTTTTTTCAAATCTTGTTTTCGTTCCAATGGACAATAGCTACAGCGAGCACTGCTGGCATTTGTAAACAACACATTTCTAGTAAAGTCGGTACAGTATATGCCTTGGCCTTGGTGTAGTTGATGAATCAGTCAGTACAGTATGCATAGTATCCCATCCTCTGTTTTTCCAGGAATGAAATGTGATTCACTACTCGCAACCAAATTATCTAGGTGGGCTAAAGGGTTTCCTTTTGTCTGCATTTGGGTTTTCCTCTTGTGTCCTTTGGTTCACGTTTCCTTGTTGATTCTCACAAAATCCATCAGATTGGCTTTGTCAAAGTCTTTGAGAATTTTGAATGCTTGGCTCATGTACCCCTATTATCTTCCCTGTTCAAGAGAAAAACCTAAGAAATGGTCATTTATTTTACCTTACCTGTTTTGGACATTCCTCTATGTCCTGGAACACACCTGGTCACTTTTTCTAGGTCAGCAATATTCTTTTGTAATGTAGTAGCTGACATTTTACACAAAAAGTTAAATGTAATGTTCAGTGATTTACAGTAAATTATACACATTTCTACGCCTCTGCATTTTTATATCATCACATTGTTTTTATCGATTTGCACTATTATTTAGAAGAGGGAAATGAAAGCAACATGAAAACTTTATGAATCACTGGATCCTTTTCAAGCAGTGTTTTCTACCTTACATGTCGAGGGTTAGTCAAAATGTTGTCAACAAGTATAAATGACAATTATTTTACTAAAGTTTTGCTATCACCTCCACAGATGGCGCTGCAGTCCCACAGTTTCCCCAATGGCATCACCTGTGGAGAAATCATTTTGTGTTCTCTGTTATCATGAAACACAATCAAGTGTTTCCGTGTGGCGGAAGAGAGTTGTTGACAGGATTTGTGACTAACCCTGTATATCCTGAGTGGCATTAAAACATTTTATTTGGTTCTAATACTAATTAATTACCTTTTTTATACCTCCCAGCTTAATTCATGTTTTTGCTATCAGGATGTACCACTCTGCACTCATCCACATTGAATACCAAGAGTTTATACAGGATTTAGAAATCGAATTTCAACTCTGTATCTCAGGTATTACTATGGATAAGATGAAAGGTATGTTTTTTTTTATTTTTTAGGGGCAATTTAAAATGATAAAGAGATAATGCAATAAATAGGTCTAATGGAATATTGTTTTTTTATGTAATGTTTAATATACATGAGCTTCCGTTGATCCATTTTGTAGCTGCTTCTTCCAATTCGGGGCTGCGGGAGAGCCAAAGCCTATTCTGGGAAACAATTTGTGCAAGTAAGGGTACAACACAGACACTCACACCTATGACCTAATATGTTTTTGGTCTTCGATAGGAAACTGGAGCACCAGAAGGAAACCAACATGAACATAGGGAGAACATACAAACTCAATACATAGAACAATACATACCTTTGGTATACTATCAAACTATGTCATTTGCAAATGATATTTTCCACAGTGTGTTCAGAAAAACAAATATCAGTTAATATTTTTAGATCTAGGCTGTTTAAAAATTGGCAAAACTGTGATTACTAGGAGCCCTGTCATTTCACTTATATAATAATGACACTATACATTTATTGTACATAGATGGGTACCTTCTCTAGCACCTAGAGGCCTCCTGGTAAAGTTTAAAGACAAAACATATTCATTGGATGAGACAGAAATAAAACAGTTCCTCACTTTGGGGGCTGCAGGGACTAGGACTGACAGTACAGTACTGTTCAGATATTGTATTCCTGTTTGTTAATGTTGGAGTCTGTCTTAATGCTGTTTCCCCTGTGTTGTGACCCCCCTCCTCAGTGTTAGAGTTTGCGTGTTTGTCAGCCTGCCTTGACTGGACTCTGTAGCTTGGAGAGGAGCAGGTGGGTGTTTTGCGTGTGTGTGTAGGTGGGCGGCAAGTGCTATCTGCTTCCTGCAGTGCCATATTCTGCAGTAAATGGCGTATTATTTCTCCTTGTAGGCACAGTGACTCACTGCTACTTCCTGGGCAAAAAAATCCATTTAGTCCTGAAGAGCTTAGAAAACCTCTAAGTAGTACACTGGTTAAGAGTTAATTAGGTATGAGGACTCATCTTCGGCTGGAAGAGCACAGTCAGCGCGGAGCATCAGGGAACTCTTTGCCTTGAAGGTGGCGGATCTGGTGATTGCTTGAGTTACCAATATGCACAACATACACACACAAACAGCACACCACAGCCTGCAGATTAGGACACAGCACTTGGCAAGAAAGGAGACCGATTTGTCATACTTTATATGCTGAATCTGCACCTCCAGAAAGATGAGAGAGTGAGAGAGAGAGCCTTCCTTAACCTTTGACTACTGACATAGGGCTGGATGGCTCTGACATACTGTACCACCACATATGAGAAGAAGGACAACTGGAACTCTTAGCAGGCAGCTGTATTACCTTTAAAGGGATGTGGAAATGATATAGGAACACCTTTTCACCGTCCCTGAATACAGAGTTGGATACTTTCCTGTTGTCTGGATCCCTCCTTACATATGCAACCCCCGTGATGGGGCTTTGGAGTTTAAAAGGTATAAGACGAAGTTTAAAAGCTTTGGCAACCAGTCTCTTGTTAGTCTGGACCTACTGTTCCTGGCTCAGGCATGGCTGGACCTCTCCACCCCAGCAAGGGGTGCCCACCAGT